GGCCCGCACCCGCGGCGGGGACCCGCCGGCCGCGAGCCCGGCGCTCGACGTGGCCCCGGACGTCTTCGTCGTGCGGGTGCTGCTGGAGGAGACCGGGGAGATGTTCCGAGTGACAGACTGCCGCAGCGACATGACCGTGCGGGAGCTCAAAGAGGAGCTGGACCTGATGGCCGGCATCCCTTTCAACCTCCAGCGGCTCCAGTACCTGGACCAAGGTGGCCCTGCCCCATCCCTTCCCTCCCACGTGTACTGTCGCGACCCCGGGTGCCCAGTCTCCTTCCGAACCTGCAGCCCCCGAAGGGGAGCCTGCCTGCGTGAGGACCTCCAGATGTGGAAACAAACCCCAACACCCTGGAAACCCCAGATAGAAAAGCAAAACCTGGCAGATAGGGACTTCCCAATCCCAGACAAATGGGATTCAAATTAGACCTCAAATCTCAAGGCAAACTCTGTCCACAGCAAGACCCTAATCCACAAACAAACTCTGCCTGGATTAGGGCTCCAATCCCAAAGCAAGCTGTCTGGTGGGACCTGCCAGCCCTGAGCAAATCCTGTCCACGTCAGGAACCCAAATCCCAAAGCAGACGCCGCCACAGCAGGACGCCTCAGAAACCCAGACCCTCTGGCTCCCCATGTCTTCATCAGGGACCCAAGTCCCACAGCCAGCAGTGCCCACACAAGACTGCAAGCCTGGCACAAAGCCTGTGCTCAGTGGGACCCCACAACCCAGGGCAAACTTGCTCGCCTCAGGACCCCAAATTCCAACAAACTTCAAGTCCCTGTGCTGGGCTTGTGGACACCAGAGCCCCCAGTCCTCCAGCCCAACCATGTCCACATAAGGATGCCAAACTGCCCACCTCAGGACCCCAAAACCCAGAACAAACCTTCCCAAGACTGAACCCCAAATCTCCAGGGTAACCATGACTACCTCAGAACCCCGAAGCCTCTGGCAACTGTGTCCACGAGAGGACACTCAAGCTCAGAACAAACCCTGCCCCTTCAGGACCCAATACAAAGAATAAACCTGCCCAAGACCGAACCCCAAATCTCCAGGGTAACTATGACGACCTCAGAACACCAAATCCTTCAGCAACTGTGTCCACGCAAGGACACTAAAGCCTGAAACAAATCCTCCTCACCTCAGGACCCCAAAACCCAGAACATACCTGCCCAACACTGAACCTCAAATGTCCCCTCTGAACCCCTAATCCTCCAGCAACTGGGTCCATGCAAGGACTCTAAAGCCTGAAAGAAACTCTGCCCACTTCAGGACCCTCAAATCAAGAACAAACTTGGGCAAGACTGAACCCCAAATCCCCAGGCTAACCGTATGGCCATCAGAACCCTGAATCCTTCAGCAGCTGTGTCCACTGAAGGATGCTAAAGCCTGAAACAGACTCTGCCTCCCCAGGACCCTATATCTCTACACAAACCATGCCCATGATTGAACTTCAAATAAAATCCCCAAGCTTCCCCTGCCCTCAACAGAAACCTAAATCCCAGAGCAGACTCTACCCAGATCTCGACCTTAAATCCCAAAGCAGACATGCCAGTTCTGAGCCCCCAATCTCTAACTAACCACTTGTGCATCTGAACCCCAATCCATCAGCCATTTCTGTCTATGTAAGGAAGCCAGAGCCCCAATTCTTCCCACATCTGGACCCCAAAATTCAAAGCCCATATCCGAAAGCCAGTTGCCAAGCTCAGCATGACTATACCAGAACCCCAGTTCCAAGCAGAGCGCCCTCATGAGGACTCCAAAGCATGAGACAGACTCTGCCCACAACAGAACCCCAAAACTCAAAGCAAACTCGGCTTGTATTTGAAACCCAAACCCCTTAGCCCACCTTATCCACACTAGACCCCAAATTCTGGACCCAACCCTGTCTGTATCAGGACCCCAAATCTCAGGACAGAACCTGTCGCCATCAAAACCCCCAAATCCCAGGGCAGACCTGTCCAATTCCCTACCCTCGGTTGCCACACTACCCAGAGCTAAGTCAGAACCCCAAATCCCAAAACAAGTCCTGCCCACACAAGGACTCCACATCCTAGAACAGACCCTTTCCGTACCAGGACCCCCAAATAAAAAGTAGACCTTGCCTTCACCAGAACCCCAAATCCAGAGCACACTCTGTCCTCAGCAGGACCTCAAATCTCAAAGCAGACCCTATCCACATTTGAACCCCGAATATTGGCACTAATCCAGTCCGTATCAGAACCCCGAATCTCAGCCGTGTTCTTGTCCACGTCAGGAGCTCAAAGCTAGCCCAGCTGCAATCAGAACCCAGCACTCAAAGCCCACTGTGGCTAAATTAGGACCCCACGGCCCCCAATCCAAACAAATCCCATGTGGGAGGCACCCCGTGGAGGGCAAGGGCCCTGCAGCCCAATCTCTCCTTCCGTCAGTCTCCTTCCCTCAGCCTGAGGACCTGGCTGTCCCTGTCCCGCTCCCTACAATAGTTAGGATATGAGAACAGGAGCAAAGCCCCTGGGCTCCATCATCTCCCCACCCGGTTGACATCAGTACAAAAACACTTCAAGAAAAGGAAGATATAAAAACTCTGGGCTGCTGCACAGAGACTGAAGAGCAATCTTGCAGAGACTGCAGTCATACCGCAGGGGCTGGGCGCGATGGAGACAGACGGAGCGCTGAGAGCAGCCTGGCTCAGCCAGCTCTGTCCTCCCAGACGCTGCCCTTCCGGGGCTCAGTTTCCTAATCTGTGAAGCAGAGCCCTTTTAGCTCTAGAATGCTCAATGCCACTTCCCCTCTAGACAGAAATGACTCGGGAGACACAAAATGTGTATTGAGGGCCAAAATACTTTCCTTTGCTCTCTTGGAAATAGGTTAAGCATTTCTCGTGATGTATTTATTTTGCTATGAGAATATCTGGAAGATGCTTTGGGGCATTATTGAGGCTTTATTTGGAAAAAATGTATCTCGAACCCAGTCTGCGTTTAACATGCTAAAGATGAGGTGAGCTGTTGAAGGACTTAGTAAGGGTTCCAAAACAAGTTAATTTGAAAATTACGTATCCTGAACTAACAATGTTTGGCTCACAGAAAAACGTTCTGTTAATTTATTTTTGCTGATGAGCTATGCTGAGCAATAAATTCCAGAAAGCTAAGAGGGAATGAAAGAGATGGAGTGACTGGACATTGATGTCACAATCCCATCACTCAGCGGGCACTTAGCAACTGTGGAAGGTTGACCTCGCTTGCGTTTGCAATCCTCACCATTGACAGCACGCGAGAAAGAGAGAAGGTGCTACTAGGTTGATAGAAGAAATTTGGGCTTCTGCCTATAAATAATCAGTGGATGCCTCCTTCCCCACCTCAAAGGCTGCCAGGGAGGATCAAATGAGATAATGTGTGTGAAAACCTTGAGAGACGCAGATCCAAGAGGGGTGAGCAAATTCATGGATGAGGATTGCCCTTACACGTCTGTTGTCAGCTCCAAGAATTTATTTAGCTGGTGATAATTAGTATTCATCTGAGCCGAAGGCAGTTGCTGCCTGCCTGTAAAAAGAGAATGTGCTCTGGGTTCTGGGAGGGCTGTTCAGCACGCGTGAATTGCGCTCGCCTCCGTCTCAGGGAGACACAGCTTTACTCCATTTTTTCGAAGTCGTTAGGAAGTCAAGTTGTCTTAGTTAGGCTAATTACTGATTATCCTCTGTGTTAGAACCACAACTAAGACCCTAATTAACAGATTTGCTCATCACTCTTCCTTGTTTACATACACCATCCGGAGTTTCTGGTAACCAAAGGTGCCAGCAGAGCCCAGAGCGACAGGTGCAGGGTGCTGGAGGGAAGGCAGGTCTGGTTGGAGTCCCGGCTATGCCATTTACCAGCCTTGCGAGCCCCACTTTGCTCGTTAGCAAATGGAGATGACAAACCTGGCTTGTCGTGAGGATGGAAGAATGTAGGTACTTAGTACAGGCACTTAGGAATCACTTGATCATGAAACCAAAAACCTCATGGATTCCGCTTGGTATAAATGATAGTCCAACCTGAGCAGAGAGGAGACTTGACATCTGTGGCATTGCTTATGGGGAAGGCAAGTTATTCTGTTATTCTTAAGCAAGATTATAGGTGGCCATGGAAGAAAATGTGTGTGTATTTAAAAAGGTAAACTAAATACAACTTCACTTTCTTAAAATGTTCTAGAATCCTCTTCTACTAATTCTGATGGTCTTTCCCAAAGATTCTGAATTTATGAAGTGTGAGTAGATCCACCCACCCCATTCTTTCCTATGAGTAAGGGGCTGTTTGGGGTGCTGACCTCCCCAACCCAGATTATGGTGAATGTCACCATGACGATTTTTACGTTGCAGTCGGTTCCCAACTGGGACAATTTTGTCCCCCAGGGGCCATTTGATGGTCACAGCTAGGTGAGCTTGCTACTGGCATCTAGTGGGTAAGAGACCAGGGATGCTGCTAAACATCCTACCACACACAGGACAGAGACAGCCCCCACCACAGAGAATGATCCAGTCCGAAGTGTCAGTAGGGCCAAGCCTGAGAAACGCTGCCATAGACTATAATTTGAAAGATCTGACAGATTTTTATTGTTGTTACCTCTTTAGCTGACTGATGACAACATTAACCAGAGTTAGCATTTGAGGTTAATGTATATAACTTGTATAACTATGTTGTAGTTCTATTTGTAGAGTTTGCCTTGTAAAATGATTTTACTGACTGGTGTTTTTTGCAATAGGACAAGTTATAATTACAGAATTTTATAAATTGTTGCCATTTCTTTTTTTTTTTGGTTTGGCTTCTATTTGAGCTGAGCCAAATTAATTTTCTAAAAAGCATTAACGACCACAAACAGACTCATGCAGAGTTATCAAATGATATCAGTGCCCAAGGTTCTAAAATTATCTTTGTGGTACCCAAGGTCAGACAATGTCTTCACTTAAGCAATGTAATAGTTTATCTTTAATACCAATTTTTTTTTAAAGAAAAAATTGTTCCCTGTAGGAGTTTTGATGGATGATTCTACGCTGAAGTTCCATGATGTTGTTCCTGGTGGAATTATTTCATTATGTATCTGGCATTATGATGGATGGACGGAACTGGTTTTGGCGGCTGTGGACGGAGATCCCAGTAAGGTGTTTTCATGCTTCTTTAAATGGATATTACACTTCCTGAAGCAACTGTAAATTGTGTGTGCGTGGGGAAAATCACTTAGTCCTTAACGTGAATATTTGAGTAAAAGTTTCAGAATAGAGAAAAAAGATAATAAGGACTGGTGTCGTAATGATCAAATGTAGGCCCAGTGTTTCCATTCATTCTCTGCATTTGCGATTTCACTGTGTTCACTTATCTGTGATTTATCACCCAATCATGCCCTCTCGGAAGGAATCAGAGAAACGCATTTTCTATTCATGTGTACATTTCGTAAAGTTGAAAACCTAATTTAACAGTGAGTGAAGAACTCCAGATAACTCGGAAATGCGCGGCCCAGAGCATTCGATGGTGCAAAAATCCTGACGGGGGTCAGTCCCCACTAGGGGGGAAAGACCACGCACTGCTTGGATACACAGCAGGTGCCTACTGTTTGCCGGGCCTTGTGCTCGGCTCTCAGCTGGGCTCTGGGGTGGGCCGTGGGGGGAAGAAGGAGGAAATCAGGGTGTGTACCCAACAGGGAAGATGAATCACTCAGACACAGGGGGGCAAGTGTGTGTTCTTTCTATAAAATAAATTTGGAAGAAAAGCTATGAGCTTGTGGAGAAGAGGAGACAGTTTACTTCCGGCTGGGAAAGGGGTCTGGGAGGGCCGGGTGTGGGAGGGTGTTGGGACCCTGGGAAGGGTGGGTGGACTCTGGGAGGCAGGGCCAGGTCTGCAGGAGCCAACCTTCTCGCGTGGGAGCTGCGTGCACCTTAGAAGGAAGAGTGGGGCCCATCCCAGCTGTTTGCACAGTCCCTTCCAGGCCTTTCCCTGCTCTTCTCCTCCACAGCCTTCCCTTGCCTTCCCTCTGCCACCAACGATTGGGTCTGTGCCTGGGTTTTCTGGCTCTTGCTCTGGATGTGGGGTCATTCCCTCCTCTGTTGAGTCAGCATTGCCATCACCCCTGTGTCCCCCACACCCCACACCGAATGCCCAGCATCTGGGACGGTGCCTCCTGTTGGAGCCCATAGTCTTCCTCCCATTCTCAGAGTCTTAATTCACCATGAGAGGATTATATTATGGGGCTATTATTCATCCATGAGCAGAGTTCAGAGTGTTCCAAAAGTTAACAGAGACAATGGGCCCGAAAATAGATCGGAAGACCAGAATTCATCAAGAGTCCAGAGAAGTTTGTTCCCCTCTGGGGAGGCCATTTCGTGTTGGCTGGTATCTTCCTTAATGGCCACAACCGCCTTCCTCTGGACACCCAAAAAGCTATTTTCTCTCTTCAAAACACTGACAGGAAGAACTTCCTGCCTCCTGAGCCTGCCTGATGGTAAATTCGTATTTCCTGGACATGTATAGAGACTTAAACAATGTCCTCCCCTGGGTGTTTTCCAACTTCTCACTTAGAGTTTGCCTCTCTCTGCTCCCGTCACAAGCCCTCATTCGGCATTTGAGCAGGCCTTGCCCCCCGATTGTCCAGACACCCACCCAGCCAGCTGCATTGCCTTCTGAAATAGCTCACACCCACTGTGTGTAACTCTGTTATCTTGCCCAGCTCTCTTGCCTTGGTGTTGCTGAAGATTCTTTCTACAGAACTACAAATTCGCAGCATTTTGAAGACGAGCAGTGGAAGGACTGGATATCTCAGAGAGCGTTCGTGGCGTTGTATATTACCTCACACAGAGGTCACTTGGATGCTGTGCAGTACCTTCTAGAACACGGTAATTCTGACAGACAGCTGAGCATGCTTGAGAGTAGGGGTCTTGGGCAGATAGGGAGGACAGAGTCGCTTGTCCTGGTCTCTTCAGCAATGGTTTCCTGGACCCAAATCTTGTCAGCCACCAATCATGGTCCCCATCGGGCCACTCAATCCCTGTCTGAGGTGTCTTAGGACATGCTAATCGGAGGCTGTGTCCCCTCTCTTAGCCAGTCTCAAGAGTCTTTCCGTTGTGGGGAGATGGAACTTTGAGGACACCAAGGCACAGGAACAGCCAAAAAAGGGCCTCCTGACTTGTTCTGTCCACCCAGACACACTGCTGGGGACATTCGCAGACTGTCTGTGTGCTTTTTGCCCCACCTGAAGTTGGGTTTCTGCAGTGATCCGAGGGGCCTGGCTCCAGCCAGCACTGTCCTCTTGGTGGTCAGCAGGCTGCCAGTCTGCTTTCTCCCAACCTTGGAATTACTCCCCCCAAGCCGTCTTTCGTCTCTTCTCCACCACAGGGCAAGTTGCTCTCTCTCTGGACGGAAATAGAAGCCTTAGCCTGCATTGTCTCCGAATTAAAGGGCTTTGCATGAGATTCCATGGGAGTACACTTTATCTTCCCTGGATGTAGGATATTTTTGGGAAAAGAGGCCCACTGGTTGAGGTACAGATCATTCAAGAACAATGGACAATGGTTGCAGACAGCTCAGGCCCCCGGCTTCCTGGGGAAAAGGAAGAATGTGTGACGTGGTACGTGGTCAGTGGTTCGAGGCTCAGAGGGGGCCTCATCCGAGGGTCTCCCATATCAACCCGCCTCCAAATTAGACCCTCCTTTCCTGCCTGCGGCCTTGACCCCAGCCTCTCTCCACTCAGTCTCTGCTGTGTCCCCGCTTCCACCAACCAAGGTGGAAAACACCCCAGGTGTTTGGGCGGGACAGCGGGGCCACGTTCCACCAAACACCCATGGCTCTGCGACGCGTGCAGGTTTCCCGGCTGTACCCTCCTCCTCCTCCACTGCTGTCTGCACTTCGCCTGTTGTGAGATGAAATACGGGCTTTCAGAGCCCAGCAGTCCTTTAAGCTCATGAAAAGTCATTTTCACTCTGATGGAACTGTGATGTATTTGAAAGCGCCAGTTAAAAAATTACAGCCAGCTTTGCAAACTTTTCTGTCCTCTGCAGACAGCCCCTGCGAAGAGGCGCCATGGCTGAGGCCGGGCGTTACGAGAACCTATTTAAAACTTTAGCGCCCTGACCAGCCATAGCTCATAAAAACTGGCTGCCGAAACGTCAGTGCGTGTAACCGAGTTGCCTTGTCTTCTGTGTTGTGATATTTGTTACCCAGAATTTGATTCAATTCAACAAGTCCACATTGGACACCTGTCGTTAGCCCATCCATCTGCGGGAGGCAGTGAGGAATTCAGTCACAGTGAAATCTGTCCACGAGTCAGGCCGCCCGTCGTCTGTCATTTCCCGGGTGCCTGTCTTCTCCAGGCAGCGCGCTACGTGCTGGGGATGAAAACAAGAGTGATCGAAACAAGCGTGTTTTCTGCCCTCGTGGAGTTTATGAAGAGAAGTCGGCAGATTATTACAAAAAATTAATTCCATGGTCGGTCATGCACGGCATGTTCTGAGGATGCAGGGTGTCTGCTGAGCATACACAGGGGGATTCATGGAGAGGGGGTGCTGAGGAAGGTTTTCCTGAGGAAATGGAGGAAACCTAAAGAAGGATTGAATTAGCCCAGAAAAAAATATAGGCTGAGAGTGTTGTTAGCAAAGGGAACAGCATGTGAGAAGGGCCTGGGGCAGGCTGAGGGAGCTGGGCATCTTTAAGGGATAAAGATGGAAGGCTGGTCTGACTGGAGCATGGAGGGAGGGGAGGAAGAGCACTGGGGGGTAATGTTGGAGTGATAAGGGGGAGGTGGGGTGAGAGAGAGCAGTAAAGACCTAAAACATTACCCCAAAGGCGGTTGATATCAGCAAGGGGATTTGAGCCGGAAAATGATATGGGCACTTGGGAAAGGTCATTGGCTGCCATAAGAGGAGCAGACTCGGGGAGAGGCAGTGCTGGATGCTGGGGGAGTGTGTCAGTGCCCCCCCCCCCCTCAGGGCTGGGGTGGGGAGCAGTTGTTAATTCTCCCCAGTGTTCCTGTTGCAGCCTCAGCCCCTCCCGTGTCCCCCCCCGAATGTGTTTCTGAAGGTGCTCCTCACGGCTGGGAGGGTGGCCGTCCCTCAGCCAGCTCTCTTATTTCACAGGAGCCAACTGTCTCAGCAAGTCCCCCGTGGGCAGGACACCCCTGCACGTGGCCGCAGCCATGGGCCAGTCAGACTGCATAGACCTCCTGCTCAGCCATGGGGCCTCCATCAACGACAAAGACGCCAAGGGGGAGACCCCCATGTCCATCGCCCACCGCCTGCACCGCGAGCACGGCGAGCGGAGGATGTTCCTCCACTACTGGAAGGCCAAGTGCAGGACAGCGGCCCCGACGGACTTGATCATGAGGAAGTTCTTTCAGGGAGTCAAGTCTGGGTTTGGCTCCAAGAAGAAGAACAGAACTTAGCTCCCCTTCGGAATGTTTGCACGTCAAAGCTGACTTGGGTAACTTTTCAGAGTTCAAATCCACGGTGGCCCTTGGCAGGCAGGAAGGCAGGAAAACATGGCAATTAACCTGAATCCGATATTAAATTATCTGTCCTGGTTGCGAATGACTTGGGGGGGGTGTTGATGGAAGTAGGGGAGTCTGTGTTCATTTCGTGCTCCATTATGGACCTACCAGGCTCCGATGCCAGCCTTTAATTTTAAGCTATTTGTACATTGTACCTAATAGCGCTGCTTGGGGTGATGGGAACCAATTACCTTCGCTCCCGTCTCCGTCTCCAGACTGTCTAATGCCTTGCCATCACAGGAGTGACAGCAGTAATAAGAAGAGCGCTGTTGTTTTTGTACAAAACAAGAGCTGGCAAATGTCCGAGGTCGTGTGCAGTGTGGGCTGTGAATTTCAGTTTGTAAAACTCGTGGAACTAAATGCTCCCACGGCTACTCATGTTCCAGAAGTTTTCCTGAGCCACCTTTGAGGGGTCTGCTGCTCGAGGAGGGTGGCTGGGGGGAAGTGAGACTGGCGAGGAGCAGGGGAGAGCTTGGCTCTCCAAACACATTCTCCGCAGGGGTGCCTTATTACTCGTGTCACCAGGTGGTAAGCGGCCGCTGGATTTGGAAGCAACGGTGTAAAAGATGATGATGAGTTCGTAGAGGAGAGAGTCAGAGCTGGTACCTTCTTTGCCTTGGTCCCATCTCCAATGGGCTGAGCACCCTGCTCCCACCAGCTTCCTGGTTTCCTCCTACAGCCGAGGGAGCTCTGTCATCCTTTCTATGGGGCGGTGTCTATGCTTAATTCTAGGCCCTATACCTTACAAGAGCTGTAGACCTCCAGGGGCCCGGCCTGCCACATGGGTGAGTGAGCTGGAAGAGACGAGAGGGAAAGGTGAGGACTGGGGCAAACTGACATGCCCTGTCTGAAGAGGGCGCCATGGCTCAGCTCCAGCAGAAATGTGAACCACAGGCTGCTAGATCTTTCCAGGACTTTCCAGAGTTGGAAATCTGGCTTTTTGATACCATAAGTCCTGATTTTTAAGTGTGAGCTTGAGTTCTTTTAAGGTCGTGGTATGGTACAAAAGGAGTAGAAGATTTGAGGCACACCTATGGGACTGCCTACCATAGTCAAACTCTTAACTCGTTTCACTGAGGAAAGTGGTAGAAACAACCTACGACTCACTGGAAGATTCCATGGCTCTGACGCCACAGGGCAGGAGTGGCCATGGGTCTTGCTGGGTGTTATGTATCGTCCTCCCTCCCACCCCACAGCCACACATGTTTCTCTAAAGCCCTAAGTCCTGACGCAACTTCCGGAATCAGTCTGTGTGGCAATGGTCTCTCAATCGTTGAAGTTCTTAACGTGATGGAAAATGGCCCTGTCTCCTGGCTGCCCTTCTTTCCGACTTACATCCCAATAACGGGATTCGGCTTTTAAATTAATTGGCAGCATCTCTTGCTGTCACAGCAAGTAAGATCTGTGTTGACGGTGTGGCTTTACACTCCTCAGACATGGCTGTACCCAGCGCGGCAATCTGTTTGACAAATAATAGTCAGGGAAAAATACAGCTCGGCGTCAACTATGTCAAAACTGAGATCTCGTTTTTGGCAGACGTCTGCAAAGTCAATAGGCAGATATTAAATAACCCTGTCCGATGGGTCAGTTCATTAGCTAATGAGGTGTGTTGGGGATGTGTGGGCACCTTTTTAACTGAACAAGTGGCATTACTCAAAGTCTTGTGTTTGCCAGGGGCTTTGCTCTGTGTCTTTGTTGTTAGGAGAGCCACCCACCTGACACTTGTCCCCAAACTTTGGAGCAAGCACTCTGTCTTCATGTGCCCCCAACTCATTAAATACTTGGCCAGAAACTGGCACGTTCCCAACACTCTGCGGTGACATTTTGCTCAGTCTGTGGCAGGGACCTCTGAGCACTCCTGTAGGTCCTGGTGGCTCTTCATTTTAGACAATCTTAACATCCTGTCTATTAAATTCAAACAATCCTGCATTGCCTATTCGATAAAATATGTCCATAGCCATAGAAGAGTTGATTTGCAATTGGTTGCCATTACGTTACATTTTGTAGATATGTCATTAAACATTTATTTTGAAGGGTTTTTTTTGTCATACTTTAGAGCCAACAGGAAAAAAATTTTTTCTGAGGGGTCATCTCATACATTTTTGTAGGACCTCGAAATCCATTTAGGTCCAAGGTGCTGGGGATGGTCTTTGGTGGTGAAACAGCTGTAGTCTGCGATCGCCCAGGTGGGCCTCTCCTCACCTGGAGAGGGCTGGGTTTCCTTTTGGAAGGGAGCTGTGGTCAGTCTTCTGGGCATGATATCCAGCTCCCTTCTCCTTATCGCTAATGTCCCACGAGGCTGGGCTCTCCATCACCAGAGCGGAGAGCTGCCTGGGTAGCGTAGAGAGCAGGGTGGGGCTCAGTGTCAACCCCGGATGGCATCTTGCTGGCTCTGCCCTGTGGCCTTGGGCAAGTTCCCTACTGCTCTGGGCCGAGAGTTTTCTGTAGAGGAGGAAGGAGGGGAGTCGCAGTGCCTGGTCCCTGAGATTGTTGGGAGGGCCTGGGAGACACGAGGCACTCGATATATGCTCGCTCTTATGCTTAGAGCTGGGTTGGAAAATCTTGCTGAAGTCATGGGCTAAGTTATTGATGTTTGAGACAGAGGGAAGATAGGAGAACCATTTGGTGCCTTTCTTGGGCTCTCTTAAGTTCTGATCACCAAAAAACTGATGACCTACCCCTTTGAGCTCAGTAGCGCCATGAAAATGCCCTTGAGTGTCCTTGGATTTCTTGGTGGCCCCAAGAAGAAGGATTCCTCAGCATCTCCTGCCATCAGGGACGTCGCTCACCAGTGTGCCTTATGTCAGCCTGAGAAACAGTCCTTGGGACTGGGTCCCTTCTGGAGAGATGGACCGCTCACTACAAGCAGAAGATGACAGCTGTGTCAGCTACCAGGTTTCTATTTGCCTTGGCTGCCAGGATGCTCAGAGCCAAGGTTAGCCACCACCGCCCCCTTCCCCTTGCCTTCTCCCTTCCCCTGGGTGAGTTATAATGAGTTGCCCTGTCTTGTACACATGTTTACTGTAAGTTACCTCCAATCCTTTCTGGAAGTCAATGCAGTATAAATTAGAAAGAGATAATACAAATTATGGGGTTCACAGGGCGACTTCAACCCTGGCTTGGCTGACCCAGCCCCGGGCCAGACAGCCTTGGTCCCGCCTCCTGCCCACATAGTCTCAGGGCGGCTAAACAGAGATGCGAGCTTCATTCTGCATCCGGCCTATTGGCCTGGTCTGCAGCATCCTCTGGAACCTGGATGTGGGCACCTTGGCTGCCCCTCTGGACCTCTGGCCACCCCCCAAGTCTCTCAGCTCTACTTGGGTCTTTGCACCTTGTCTTCTCTCTCCAAAGACCACGAGGTTCCAGCTGCGAGCTGGGCTCTTGCCGCCTCCCTCTGTCTCTGATCTGATGCTCCCTCACCTGAAGCGTATCCACCAACCAGAGTTTCCCAGAGAGGGGGAAGGCCATCCCACTGGTGGGGGGCTTTAGGTGGCCCCCGACATTGCATTAAGTGACACTGAAACATAGGGTTCGAAAGTTTTTCCCTTTTCAAATCGCTCTCAATCTTTGTAATTCCAACAAGGAGAAAGTCTCCGTTAGATGCTAGTATGTCTGACTCCTCCGTGACCCTGGCTAATCTCCCTTTTAAAAATATGCAAATAGAGCAGGCTTCGTCAGGCAACGGTGTTTTGCTGGGATTTAATAACATTGTCTTGTTTTCAGTACATTTGTGGGCTGGGATTCTATTCCTTTCTCTAATCCTCACTCGTGAGTGACCTTGGGGCAAATTGTCACCTCCCAAGGGCCTCAGCTTCCTTGTCCTTCACGGGCCCCCAACATCTCCATCCCAACCTGGTCATATTGGTGAAACGAGACCACCAGTGTGAGTTGTGCGCCCAGGACCAGGAGCCCTGTCGGTGTGGCCCCCCAGTGCCGAGGGAAGGGGCTGGGCTCGCCGTCTGGAAGATCCGGTGTAGAACTTTCCTCTGCCACCGGCTGCGTGGCGTTGAGCCAAGCAATTGCATCTCTCAGAGCCTCAGTTTCTTTGTCTGTAACATTTGGGTAATAAAACCTGCTCCTGTCGTCACTGGCGGGATAAATGCCGGGCACAGAGCAGACACTTGAAAATTAGTAGCCGTTACTATTATTGTCACTACCACCACTTAATTTGCTTAAAGTGTTTACTCACAGGGAATCAATACTCTCCCGGTTTCCAGAGAGCCTCATAAATTTCAGCAAACCTTATACAATAAGAGTCTCCATCCAGAACTAATAATTCCTGAAGTGGGCGATAAATAATTTCCCTGAAATTTGCTGATTTTGGTATTAAGTACAGAGTTTCCTCAACAGCTTCCAGAAAAGTCGTTCTGAACTTAAAACTCCAGGGCCAGTGCTGCGGAAGAGGAAGAAAAGCTGTAAGGAGAGAGGAAAATTCCATTCGCTCGGCTGTGCCTCCGCAGTGCTACACTGACTACGCAAGCATCCAGCAGAGGGCACAGAAACCCATTAACATTTAGAAAAACGCCGGTGTTTGTGTTCATCGGAAATGTCAGAGATGCTGCAGTCTGCGTCACACCGAACACTCGAGAGCAGGTCTCAGCGGCGGGGGCTGGCAGACTGGCTTTTCCGCCTGAACTCCTGAAATGGTCTGCAAAATGTGCGTGTTTGCTCACGCATTTTCTCGAACATTCATAGCTCTCATTACATCCTGAAAGGGTCTGTGGACCCCCTGCCCAAATGTTCCCAAACCTGGACACACAAAGAGGAGACCCACCCACACCAGTTGTCAAACCACATCAGTGCAGCCATACGATGTTACTTGCTACCCATTTGGTTGGTGTGCGTTGTCAATTTGCAACTGGAAAAATGATAAATACTGGTAACATCTGGTGCTGTGATGTGTGTGTGTGTGTGTGTGGGTGGGTGGGTGCGTGTGTGTAGGTAGACGGGTATCTGGGAAGGGCTCTCTCTTACACTGCGGGAGGGAGCTGGCAGA